CAGTTTTATAACCTTTGAGCATAGTTTCACATTGTTCTCCAGAATGGTTGATCCAACTCACAACACCACCAACAGTGCATTAGTGTCCTTATTTTTCCACATCCCCCCACAAATTTCTCCTTTTTCTTTTCTATCACAATAGCCAACCTAATAAAGTGGTACCTCAGAGTTGTTTTAATTTGCTTTTCCCTAATTAATAGTGATCTAGAACACATTTTGGTATAATCATAGATAGCTTGGATTTCTTTTGAAAACTTCCTGTTCGTAACTTCTAAATATTTATCAATTGGGCAATGACTCTTATTTTTATAAATTTTATTCCATTCCCTATATGTTTGAAAAAAGAGGCCTTGATCAGAGAAACTTGTTCTGAAAAAACTTTTCCCAGTTTCCTACTTTCCTCCTAATTTTAGCTGCATTGTTATTGTTTCTGCAAAACTTTAAATTTATTGTAATCAAAATTATCCATTTTAATTCTCATGAACTTCTATGTCTCTTGCTTGGTTATAATTCTTTTCTTATCCACAGAACTAACAGGAAAAAATATTCCATGCTCCACTAATTTGCTTATGATATTCACCATTTATATATAAATTTTGTGCTCATTTTGACCTTATCTTGCTATACAGTGTGAGATGTTGGTCTCTACCTGGTTTTTGCCAAATAGTTTTCTAGTTTTCCTAACAATTCTTGTCAAATAATGAGTTCTTGTCCCCCAAACTTGAATCTATAGGTTTAGAAAACAATAGATTACTGTGGTTATTTACTACTGTGTACTGTATACTTACTCAATTCTACTGATCTACTCTATTTCTTATCCAGTACCAAATAAATGTTATGATTACCACTTTGCAATATAGTTTAATATATGGTGTTATGAGGCCACCATCCTTCACATTTTTTTATTGATGCCCTTGATATTCTTGACCTTTTGTTCTTCCAGATGATTTTTAAAAATTTTTCTAGTTCTGTAAGATAAATCTTTGGTAACTTGATTAGTGTGTGCTGAATAAGTAAATTCATTTAGTTAGACTTGTCATTTTTATTATTTTAGCTCAGTCTACTCATAAATAATTAATATTTCTCTACTTATTTGGATAAATCTTTATTTGTCTGAAAAGTATTTTGTAATTGTGTTCATAAAGTTCCTGGGTTTGCCTTGGCTGTAAACTCCCGAGTATTTGATATTGTCTACAGTTCCTTAAATGTCATTACTCTTTTTATCTCTTCCTGCTGCACTTTGTTTGTAATATATAGAAATGCTGATGATTTATGTGGGTTTATTTTACATCCTGCAACTTTGCTAAAGTTGTTTCAACTACTTTATTAGTTGGTTCTCTATGATGTGCCATCATATCATCTGCAAAGAATTATAGAATCCTTTCCTCATTATATAATTTTATTCCTTCAATTTTGTTCTCTTCTCTTATCACTATAGCTAGCATTTCTAATGCAATATGGAATAATAGTGGTGATAAAGTGTGTTTCTTATAAACAATATGTGGTTGGATTCTGTTTACTAATCCATTCTACTATCTGCTTCTGTTTTATGAGTAAATTCATCCTATTCACACTGATAGTTATGACTACTAACTGTATATTTCCCTTCATCCAATTTTTTCTATTTATTCTCTCTTTCTTCTCATACTGACCCTCTTCAAATATCTGTTTTGCTTCTACCACTGCCTCCCTTAATCTGCCCTCCATTTTATCTTTCTCCTTTTCCCTTATACCTTTCCTTTCCCACCTCCCTGTTGAGTAAGATAGATTCCTATATCCCAATGAGTGTATGTATGTGTGTGTGGTTACTCCCTCTTTGAACCAATTCCAGTGAGATTGAGGTTCAAGTTTTGCCTGCCATTCTCCCTCCCCATCTAACCCTTCATCATAAATGATCTTCCTTTCATGCCTCTTTTATGGGAGAGAATTTTCCCCATTCTTCCTTTCCCTTCCTACATCTTTCAGTGCTTCCTCTTTCTCATCCCTTCATATTTTTTGAGACCATCCCAACATAATTGACTCACATTCATGCCCTCTGTCTACATAAACTCCTTCTAATCACCCTAATAATGATAAAGTTTTCAGGAGTTACATGTATCATCTTCCAATATAAGAATGGAAACAGTTTAAACTTATTGAGTCCCTTATGATTTATTTTTCATGTTTACCCATTTACACTGCTCTTGAGTTTTCTGTTTAAATGTCAGATTTTCTATTTATCTCTGGTCTTTTCATCAGGAATGTTTGAAAGTCCTCTATTTCATTAAATATCCATTTTACCCTGAAGTACTTTACTCAATTTTGTTGGGTAGGTAATTCTTGGTCGTAATCCTAGCCCTATTGCCTTCCAGAGTATCATATTCTAATTTTCTACTACTTTAACATGTTAGCTGTTAAATCTTGTGTCATCTTGATTATGGCTCCACAGCATCTGAATGACTTCCTTCTGGCTGCTTGCAATATTTTCCCCTTGACCTGGAAGTTTTGGAATTTGGCTATAAAATTCCTGAGAGTTTTCATTTTTTTATTAGTTTCATGAGGTAATCAATGGATACTTTTAATTACTATTTTACCATCTGTTTCTAAGATATGGTGGTTTTCCTTTAAAATTTCTTGAAATATGGTGTCTTGGCTCTTTTTTTTTTTGATCATGGCTTTCAGGTTTTCTAATACTTTTTTTAAAATATCTCTCAATCTTGCATACCCTTTGATCCAGCAATACCACTACTAGATCTCTATCCCAAAAAGATCATAAAAAAATACTTGTAGAAACTTTTTGTGGTGGCAAAGAATTGGAAATTGAGTGCGTACCCACCAATTGGGGAATGGCTGAACAAGTTGTGGTATATCAATGTAATGGAATATTATTGTGTTATAAGAAATGATGAGCAGGTGGATCTCAGAAAAACCTGAAAAGACTTACATGAACTGATATTGAGTGAACTGAGCAGAACCAGAAGAACATTGTGCACAGTAACAGCAACATTGTGTAATGATCAACTTTGATAGACTTGGCTCTTCTCAGAAATACAATGGAAAATTGCATGCAAAGACAATTCCAAAAGAATTGTATTTTTGTGCTTCTTTTATCAAGCTGTTAATTCTCTTTTCATATTCTTCTTGCATCACTCTCATTTCTTTTCCTAATTCTTTCCTCTTCACTTTTATCTTTTTCTTTAGTTCTTCCAGGAATTCTTGTTGGATTTGTGTCCAACTTTAATTTTTCTTTGAGGTTTTGCTTATAGCTATGTTCATGTTATCTTTTTCTGAGTTTGTGTCTTGATCTTCCTTGGCACTATAGTAACTTTTTATGGTCAGGTTTTTTGTTGTTGTTGTTGTTGTTTAATTATTTTTCATGTTATTTCTTGACTTTTAACTTTATGTTAATGTTGGTCTCTGTTCGTGGAGTAAGGTACAGGAGTCTCTGTCCCAAACTTCAGGCTATTTTCATTCTGCTGTTTTCAGAGTTAGTTCTAGGAGTTTGTAAGTATTCAGTGCTTCCAGGGTGGTGTAATCCAGAAAAAAATATGGTCGCTACTCTCCTGGTCTATGATCTGGTCTTTACCCAGAAAGGGTCCCTGTCCCCTGCACCTGCAAGTCCTAGCATTTCTCTCCTCTCTGGAACTGTGGATGGACAATGCAACAGGGTCTTTCACTCACTGTCAGCTCAGGGTCTTCTATAATCTCTTTCTGACCAGTTTATCCAATTCCCTTACCATCTCTGGTTTGAAAACTCCCGTAACTGTTGCTGCTACTGTCTCTATTGACCCCAAAGCCCACTGCTTATGTTGTTACTATGTGTGAATTTGGCACCTTTGGCATAAGCTTTTTTTTTTTTTCCATTTTGAAAATGAGGAACCTGAGGCGTAGTGACTAGCCCAAGGCCATACAACACAACAATCACTGGAAGAACCAAAGTTAGGTTTTTATAAGCCTAAATAAACTTTTTTTTCAAATAAACTACAAGAATGGAGAGAGAAGATCTAATTCAATACTCCTTTGATCCATTTATGCATCTTTTAGATTTAGAGCTGTTGAGCGTAACTAATCCTATAACAAAGGGAAATATGAGTGAGCCAAATACCATCAGTAAGCTTAAATTCATTATGATTGTCCTCATCAAACTTTGTATTTCCATAGGATCTCAATGCCTGTTCAGAATATCTCATCACATTCATGCCCAGGAAAATTGTGTGAGATAAGTATATATTAATGGGGAAGACTCCCAAAATACATGAGATTAATAAACAGGGAGTTGTTGGACCATTCATTGCTATTTTGTAATTGTAAGAATGTTTAAATTGCATTATTATATAATTATTTCAGTTTTATTCATTTTTATAATCAACTTATCTACAACAGGTCTGCATAACCTGTGGCCCATAGGCTGTTTACGGCCTGCAGGCTTCTTGCAGTGCAAGAAAGGATTTCTGGCCTATGAAAAATGAAGAGGAAATCCTCTGTTGGGCTGAAGATTATGCAGGCCTGATCTACAAAATCACTCTTGCCTAAAATTTCCCTGGTGGAAAACGTTAAGCATCATTATATCTTGGAGACAATTATTTTAGAATTATCTCAACAATAACTTAGAAAATAGACACTGGACAGTGATTGTGTTTTTAAATTTTTTTGGTTGTCTTGCTGTAAATAGAGATGCAGAATTCAGATTCATTCACAGAACTTGTAACAATAACAATAGCTAGCATTTATAAATCCCTTTAAGATTTGCAAAGCATTTTACATATATTACCCCATTTGATCTTTATAACAACCTGGTGAGGTAGGAGCTATTATTTTTATTATTTTATAGTTCAGGAAACTGAGGCTTAGAGAGGTCAAATGACTTCTGGAATCACTCAACCATCAAGTGTCTCAGGCAGGATTTAAACTTAGGTCATCCTGAGTATAGGTCCAGTGCTTTATCCCTTGTACCACTAGTGATTGTTTCTTGATACCTTTGTGCAAAGCTGTGTATCATGGTCATTACTTATTATTTGCAGAGCTGGAGGCTGAGGAATGGTGCAAACACCTTTGCATGGAGTGTCTAGGAACCAGACTGAATGACATAAGCCTTGGGGAACCTGATCTACTGGCTGCAGGAGTGCAGAGGGAACAAAATGGTATGTGTCACATCTTTGATGCCATTATACTAAGCCATCATGGTAGAAGCTTAGACCTGGAGGCATCTGAGCAATCATCTAGTGAGATATGGGATTAGAATGGGGTTTTTAATCTGGGATCTTCAAACTTGTTTTTTAAAAATATTTTAAGATATTTTGTTAATTCTGTATACAAAGGAACACAATTTTATTATTTTATATTATTACATAAATAACATTTTATATTATTACACAATTGATTTTGTTTATGCATTTAAAAATATTGTTCTGAGAAGGGGTCCATGAGCTTCACCAGATTGCCAAAGGGGTCAATTACATAAAAAGAGGTTAAGAATCTCTGATCTAATCCAGTCTGCTCATTTTATTGGAAACTTGGGCCAGAAAAGCTAAGTAGTTTACTAAAAAGTCACAAAGCTAGTAAGCACAGCAGAACCAAAATTCCAACCCATGTTCTTTGACTCTAAACTCAATCAGGACTTATCCATCAGCTCATTTTTTACATGAACCAACTAAGAATTTTCCATGAGTTGCCCAAAGTCACATGGGTTAACTAGCTACAAAGTCAAGATTGAACTCAGGTTTCCTGACCCAGCCCAGTATTCATAATATTAACCAAATTAATGCAATCACAAGAAGCAGCATGATTTAATCAAGTGCCACAGTTAATGCCTGACTCTGCCACTTACCACCTATGTGACTTTGGATAAATAACTTCATCTTTCTGTGAGTCTGTTTCCATAACCTTTTAAACTGGACCTATGATTTAATTTTTGTAAGGAATTTTAGTGAGAAAGTCCCTTCTTAATGTAGATCCACTCCTACTCTGTAACTTATAGACTTAATATTCCCTGAGGCACCAGTTGGCTAAGGATCACATAGGTAGTATGTGTCAGAAGTAGAAATTGAACCTAGGAATTTTGATTCTGAGGCCAGTTGTTTATCTCTCATGCCATGATTCCTCTCCTATAAAATGAGGAAATTGAATTACATGACCTAAAAGGTCCCTTCCAGGTCCAAATTCTTTGATTCCTTAAGTTTATTTAGAAGATGATGGATATAATTGTAGTTTCAATTCATCAGTTCAACACTCAACATGGCCTAAAGTTTGTATCAAGTAGCAAATATTCAATTCAATCCTGTATTTATTAAGGACCCCCTATATTTATCATAAATCATTTATCTAGAGTTTAATGGGAACTCAAAGGTCTAGTCTCATTCTCTTGCTTTGCTGATGAAGAAACCAGTTTCCAGGCAGGTTAGGTGATTTGTCCAAAGTCCTTCAGGAGGTACACGTTGAAAGCAAAATTTGAGCCTAGTTTCTCTGAATGCTGAGGTGATATTTTTGCCATTGAACCATGAGTATCACACTATGCTAAGTTTTGGGAACACAAAGAAAAATTATAAAAAATACCTGCCTTCAAGGAGTTTACTACATTCAACTAGAATAACATAATGTGTAAAAAAAAAATGTATACATGATAATTTGAGGACAAAAAGAGCATTAACAACTAAGGAGACCAGGAATAGCTTCCCAAAGGAGATGGAAGATGGATTTACCATTGAAAAAAGCTAAGGATTCCAAAAACCAGTGGTTATAATGGAGTTCATTGTGGGCATGGAGGTAAGCCTACGCAAGAGCACAGCAGTGAGAGATGAAGTAATGAGTATGGTCAATATGAAGTCAGTCTGACCAGAATACAGTGTTAAATAACTATGCTTGAAAAGAACCCTTGTCTGGAAATATTAATAGTGGAGAGGACCCACCACAGATAGAAGTTAGAAACACAATGAAACAAGGCAATATCAGGGAATGACAGACAAGTTAGTAAGTAGATAAGTGCCAAAAGAGGTGGGCAGGGTTAGATAATGAAAAAGGGTCAAAACCAAAAATCTACAACCAGATCTCAGAGAAGGGTAAGCGGGACACAAAATTAAGTTTCCAGTTCTGGAACCTCTTCAATTCTCCTTCTCTATACTATCTTCCTTGATGATCTCATCAGTTCTTATGGGTTCAGTTATCAACTATCCTAACCTCTCTCCTGAGCTACAGTCTCACATCACCAAGTTGGAAATTTGCTCTTGGAAATTTCTAATTGTGTACTACTACAGGCATCTCAAAGTCAACATCTCTAAAACAGAACTAATTACCTTTTCCTCTGCCCTCGCCTAAGCCCTTCCTTTCCACACCCCCACACCCCTTCAAAGTCCCCATTACTATTGGAAGCACCACCGTTATCTTACCCATCCAAGCCCAAAACCTCACTGTCATTCTCAACTCTTCTCTCACATTTATTCCACATATTCTTGTCTTACTGTTTCTATCTTTAAAATATGTCTCATTTACATCTCCTTCTACCCACTCAAATAGCCACCATTTTGTTGCAGACTCATTTCTTCAAGCACAAATTACAGCAGTAGCCTTTAAATTTCTCCCTACTCTAGTCCATCTTCAATTTATTTGATATGTTTATCTTCGAGTAGTACAGATCTAACCATGTCATCCCATATTAAAAAAACTCCATTGACTATTACCTGCAGGATCAACTATTAAATCTTCTGTTTGATTTTTAAAGCCCTTCATATCCTAATTCCTTTCTACCTTCCAATATTCTTGTACTTTACTTTCCCTCACATGCTCTATGATCCAGTGACTGGCTTTCTTGCTATTTTTTACACATGATACTCCATCTCCTGACTCCATGTCTTTTCACTGACTGTTCTCTACTCCTAGAAAGCTCTCCCTCATCATCTCTGCCTCCTAATTTCCTTGATTTCTTTCAATGCTCAGCTCAAAGCCCACTTACTGCAAAAAACATTTCCTTGTCCTCCTTAATGTCAGTCTATCTGGGATTACCTTTAATCAATTTATATATAGATACACATATACATATGTGTCTGTATATTATGGGTATTATATATATATATATGTACATGTAAATATAAATATACAAATCTATAAAATAGATTTACATATTATGTCTATATATTCATAGTAATATTTGTATGTATTATACAAATATTTACAATAACTAGATGTTTATATGTTTGCACACATATAAACATATGTATTGCTTATACATGTCTCCCCCATTAAAATATGAGCTCCTTGAGGAAAAGGGCCATATTTTGACTTTCTTTATTTCCCCAGTACTTAGCACGTAATAAATGCTTAATAAATTCTTTAGATTGATAAGTGTAAAATAAATGTAAAAGAAAATATGCAAAAGAAATTTGGTGGCATAATAGTAATCACCTTTACTATCATTCACAACCTACCTGTCCATTAGTAGCACAGACAAAAGCTGGTTGTATGTTGATAATATGAAGCCCTTAATGGCTCCTGTAGCATGTGAACACATTCTCATAATTTTAATATTTTCATAACCATTCACATAGTAACTCCAAAAGTGCATCCTCTCATCTAAATTTCTGGAGCAGCCACAAGTATACAAGGCACATTGCCACATTGCTTTAAGTGTCTTTTCCTGTTCAGGGTTTTTAAAAAGGAAGAAAAAACTTTTGTAGATAAGCATCTGTCAAACACTGTGTGAAGGAAATATAAAGAAAGCTAAAAATGTAAGTTTGTGGGTGGAAAAATAGCACAGCTGTCTTCATGCAGCTCTTTGAAAGGTGTGGTATTTGTTAGAATTGTATAGGCTCAGGTTTGCAAGGAGTTTTTCCATGGTGAGAAAATAGCTTGTTCCCTTTATTTTCTTTCATGGTATGAACACCAAAGTGACGAGTCTAGAATACAAAGAGAAACTCTGATGAAGAATTTCTTGAGAAGAGAACAAAAAAGATTTAGATATTGGAACTGCAAAGCCAGGGATTGTGTACACAAAAATTTGCTTTCCTGTATTATCTTCTTGTCAGAGTTGTGATTACCCTATCTATGATTCTGCAAAAGATGTTTTTTTTTTTAACTTGCTCTTTCAGCAATGTGCGTGCATTAATGGAAACACACACACACACAGGATAGTTAATAAATACATGAATAATGCTTTTATTTATCCTTCAGGTATGAAAGGTACACAAAGCATCTCTTGATAATAGCATCCTCCTTCTAGAATCTGTGTTATCTGATTCTTACTTCTCTCACATCATCCCTATATCTAGCAGTCTCAAATTCTATGGAGTTTTCTTTTACAATGTCTACCACAGGTCCTTAGGATTTAAGGCTAGAAAGGACTGCCCAGGTCATCAATTACAATGCTATATTATTTTAGAGGTGAATGATAGAAGATTCATAGAGGTTAATTATCTGGTACAAATCACAAAGAATAAGTAGCAGACCCAGGATTCAAACCTATATTTTTTAGCTTCAAATCCAATGGTGTTTCTAGTACACTGCACCAATGGTGCATCTGTCTTTTCATTTATATTTCCATCATTGTAGATGAGGCTTTAATCTGTATGCCAAGACCAATGCAATTAAACATAGCTTTCATGTGAAGCAATAGAATTAGAAGATGTGGATTCTAGACCTAGCTATATCACTAACTAGCTGTGTAATCATTTGCAAATAATTTAATTGTTCTGAGCCTCACATTATCATTGTAGCATAGATTTAGGACTGGAAAGCACTATTAATTAGAGATTATCTAGCCCAATGCCCTCATTGTAAATGAGGAAACTGAGACCCAGAGAGAGCCAGAAATTTAATCCAGACCTAACTCTAAAGGCTTTCTACTGTACTACTTGTATCTCAAACTGAGTGGATTTTACTAAGTCATCTTGAAGGTCCTTTCCATTTCTAAAGAGTCTATGTCTCTATAGTATTTAACAGCCCATGAATATGCTTTGTGTTTTTTCACATCTACCTATTTCACCCATTTGTAATGGTCTTCCCCCTTCTCTCTGCCTTTCCAAATATTATCCATGCTTCAAAAACCAGCTTCAGTTCTGCCTCTTCTTTCCCTCCACTAAACTCTAAAAGCATTTATTGTGTGTGCATTTAACAATTAATATTTCTTCACATCTTCTCTTCTATTGTTGTATTT